TGGGCATGCGCGGCGCTTGGAAAGATGACCTCCAATCATCCCCTGCTGAGTTGGTCTACGGCGAGCCACTTCGCTTGCCTGGCCAATTCCTGTCTCCGAAGGACGACTACCTGACTGCTGATGTCACCCAGTACGCGACACGACTTCGCGCGTACATGGCGAAGCTCTCACCACGTCCAACTTCTTGGCATTCCACGGCTTCATTCTACGTGCCACGCGATCTTCACACTGCCACCCATGTCTTTCTCCGCCAAGATCGTGTTAGAGGAGCACTGGAGCCACCTTACACTGGACCATTCAAGGTCGTGAGCAGGCAGCCTAAATATTTCTCCATCGAATACAAAGGGAAGAACGTCAATGTATCGATTGACAGGCTCAAACCGGCATACATCACACGAGAAGCCCAAATTCCGGAGAAAACACACGAAGAAGCCAAACGGACGTCCAGTGGGAGAAGAGTTCGACTTCCAGATTTTTATCGACCGTAGTCACGGTCTGCCGGGGGAGTACTGTGGCGAGCTACCCGCTCCAATTTTATACTTGGGCAACCGCCCTACATTTCGACGAAGAAACGCTCCGCTTATGCGCTTTGGGCCAGCGGCGATGACTGACGTCACGCATTACGTAGCTCGCCGGGCGTATGCGCATCCTTGTCGCACGCGCTCGCTTCGTGATGATGCGTGCCTGCTCGCGTCGTCGCGCCGTCGGCCGAACAAGAATGACTCTGCATATAGCTTTGCTTGCGTACGACCGTCACATTTCTATTAATTTATAATCTGCTTACTTTTGCTATTTTATACAATTCTTTTCTTGTAATTTAATTCTAATCTGTGTGTAAATAATATATCCTTCATTCTTAGTGCTTGTGCTTCTTTTCCTTCTCGTGAACTGTGTTGTTTTGTGCTGTATTAATTGAACATTCTTATCGGGTTCGACTCCCGAATTTTATGTGGGATTACTTCATATAATATCCTACATAAGTGTGAATTGTACTTCAAATATAAATTTTACTATATGTTGATAAATAAAATTACATTTTAAAGAAAAATGCCAAAAAAGCGAACTTATGTGCCCGAGATGACATTTGAATTCATAATATAAAAATTGATATAACATATATATTTTATTTTTATGTTATTAAATAACATAGAAAAAATAAAGTTTTAATTTACATGTTTTATATAATGTTTATGAATATATTTCATTTTAGGTACCATTATCTTTTGTATTAATATAATTGAGTATTTATGCATTCACAATTCTATACTCATAAATACCCAAAATACCCTTAATGAAAATTCTTAACATCGAGTATACTCGAGTCCGATGTCCGGGTACCTGAAGTGGAGGACTTTTTAGGTATTCTAATTAAAGCTATTTGGCATTTTCAATGATATATTGTTGTTTAATATTGAAAAGTGCGAGTCAGACTCGCGTTCAAAAGTTTTGGTACCATTATCTTTGAAGAACGCAAAAAATCACGATTGTTGTTTAGGAGTATTGGGAGTTGTATTGAAGGGGTTCAATATTTATTTTATTCTGTTAATATACGTATACGTATAGCGGTTAGTATACGTATAGCGGCAACAGAAATAAATCATATGTGAAAATTTCAACTGTTTAGTTATCACGGTATCAAACCTTGGGGGATGAGGACTAAGGCATTTTAACGTGTTTCTAAAAGGTCTTTTATAGTGTCTCGACATCAGTAATGACTTTTTAGAGATTACTCAACGAGCCGAGGTAACTTATACTCTCCCTGATTTACTATTATTTTAATCGTCTACATTTTTCTAGGTTCACGCACACGTAAAACGCGATGTGCCAGCGTCGAACGATCAGAACGACAACAAACAACTGCCCGATAAAATTCAAGACCGTGATGGCGACATCATATGCGGTTCTCAAATTGGGGTAAATATTATACGATAGTACCTACATTACCCAAACAAAAACACACATTACAGTGTGGTAGTAGCGACCTTTGCTTTTTATTCATAGAGGATACAGTAAAGCTACTACTTTGAATGAGATAATGTGTATGTCTAAGATTAACATTGATTATCATAGATATTTTAGGATAGAACTTAGATTCTATATTATGAACTATGAGTTATGCTTTTTTTTAAATCCCTACAGTGTTTTTTTTTATTGAAGATTAACATTTGGGTTTTTTACAGGTCAATAATCACGAGACATTGGACGATGTAAGTGAGAATTTTACTTGAAATATAGGTTTTAAAATATATGTGTGTTTAATAAAATAATATTTTGAAGGAAAAAGCCCAAGATAATTACCGTACTTATGTGCCCAGGATGGAATTAGGATCCATAAAATAAATATTAAAATAACGTGTATATAAATGCTTAGGTTATAAAACAACATAGAATTAATATAGTTTTAATTTACACCTCACATATAATGCTTATGAATATATTTCATTTTAGGTAAATTATATTTTTTTTAATATATTTGAGTAATTTTGCTTTCACAATTATATACTCATAAATACCCAAAATATCCTTAAAGAAAATGCTTAACATCGAGTACACTCGAGTCCTATTTCGGGGTACCTGGAGTGGTAGATTTTTTTAGGTATTCTAATTAAAGCTATTTGGCATTTTCAATGATATATTGTTGTTTAATATTAATGAAAAGTGCGAGTTGGACTCGCGTTCAAAAGGTTTGGTACCGTTATCTTTGAAGAACGCAAAAAATCACGATTGTTGTTTAGGTGTATTGAAGGGGATCAATATTTATTTTATTCTGTTAGTATATGTTGTTATAGCAGCAACAGAAATACATCTTATGTGAAAGTTTTAACTGTTTAGTTATCACGGTATCAAACCCCCAAGACTAAGGCATTTTAACGGGTTTCTAAGAGGTCTTTTATAGTGTTTAGACATCAGTAATGACTTTATAGAGATTACTCAACGAGCTGAGGTAACTTATACTCTCCTTGATTTACTATTATTTGAATCGTCTACTTTTTTCTAGGTTCACGCACACGTAAAACGCGATGTGCCAGCGCCGAATGATCAGAACGACAACAAACAACTGCTCGATAAAATTCAAGACCGTGAAGGCGATATCCTACGCGGTTCTCAAATTGGGGTAAATATTATACGATAGTACCTATATTACCCAAACAAGAAGAAGTTTATTTACCTTCACATTACAGTGTGGTAATAGCGAGCTTTGCTTTTTATTCATGCAGGATACAGTAAAGGTACTACTTTGAATTAAATAATGTTTATCTCTAAGATTACAATCAATTATCATTGATATATTAGGGTAGAACTTAGATAAAATATTAAGAACTATGAGTTATGTTTTTTAAAATCCTTTCAGTGTTTTATTTGAAGATTAAAATTTGGATTTTTTACAGGTCAATAATCACAAGAGATTGGACCATGTAAGTGTGAATTTTACTTAAAATATTAAGTTTTACTATATGTTCGTATAAATAAAATCACATTTTGAAGGAAAATGCCAAAATAAGAACCGTACTTATGTGCCCGAGGATAGGCATTTGGATCTCATAATATAAATATCTGATATAACGTTTATATTTATGCTTAGGTTATTAAATACAACATAGAATTAACATAGTTTTAATTTACACGTTTTATATAACGTTTATGAATATATTTCACTTTAGGTACCATTGTATTTTGTATTAATATATTTGAGTAATTTATGCATTCACAATTCTATACTCATAAATACCCAAAATACCCTTAATGAAAATGCTTAACATCGAGTATACTCGAGTCCCATTTCAGGGTACCTGGAGTGGTAGACTTTTTTAGGTATTCTCATAAAAGCTATTTGGCACCTTCAATGATATTTTGTTGTTTAATATTAATGAAAAGTGCGAGTCAGACTCGCGTTCAAAAGTTTTGGTTTCATTATCTTTGTAGAAAGCAAAAAGACACATTTGTTGTTTAGGAGTATTGAGGTTGTATCGAAGAGGTTCAATATTTATTTTATTCTATTAGTATATGTTGTTATAGCGGCAACAGAAATACATAATATAGGAAAATTTCAACTGTCTAGTTATCACGGTATCAAACCCCCAAGACTAAGGCATTTTAACGGGTTTCTAAAGGTCTTTTATTGTGTCTCGACATCAGTAATGACATTTAGAGATTACTCAACGAGCTGAGGTAACTTATACTCTCCCTGATTTACTATTATTTGAATCGTATACATTTTTCTAGGTTCACGCACACGTAAAACGCGATGTGCTAGCGTCGAACGATCAGAACGACAACGAACAACTGCCCGATAAAATTCAAGACCGTGAAGGCGACAGCATACGCGGTTCTCAAATTGGGGTAAATATTATACGAAAGTACCTACATTACCCAAACAAGAAGAAGTTTATTCACGACTTGCTTTTGCTCGCGACATCGTCCGCGTGGTAAAGTTAGTATTATATGGTGTAAAATACCTGAAATAAAGTTTCATCCCCTATTTTATCCACTTAGGGGTGAAATTTGACAAAATTATTTCTTAGGCGATGCCAACGTTATAGTAGCTTTAAGCATGCAAAATCTCAGCCCGATCGGTTTAAAATTGACAAAGTTTCATACAAACTTTCATCCCCTATTTTATCCGCTTGGGATAGAATTGATCGAAATCCCTTCTTAGCGGATGCCTACGTCATAACATCCACCTGCATGTTAAATTTCAGCCCGATCCGTCCAATGATTTGGTCTGTGCGATGATAGATCATTATGTCAGTCAGTCACCTTTGAGTTATATATATTTAGATATTTACCTTCACATTACAGTGTCGTAGAAGCGAGCTTTGCTTTTTATTCATGTAGGATACAGTAAAGCTACTACTTTAAATTAAATATTGTGTATGTCTAAGATAAAGATCGATTATCATAGATATTCTAGGATAGAACTTGATGAAATTATATGAACTATAAGTTCTTTTTATTTTTTAAATTTATTCACTGTTTTTTTTTATTAAAAATTTATATTTATGTTTTTACAGGTTAATAATCACAAAACATTGGACTGTGTAAGTGTGAATTATACTTCAAATATTAATTTTACTATATGTTGTAAAAATAAAATTACATTTTTAAGAAAAATGCCAAAAAAGCGTACTTATGTGCCCGAAATGACATTTGAATTCATAATATAAAAATTGATATAACATATATATTTATTTTTATGTTATTAAATAACATAGAAAAAACAAAGTTTTAATTTACATGTTTTATATAACGTTTATGAATATATTTCATTTTAGGTACCATTGTATTTTGTATTAATATAATTGAGTATTTAAGCATTTACAATTCTATACTCATAAATACCCAAAATACCCTTAATGAAAATGCTTAACATCGAGTATACTCGAGTTCCATGTCCGTATACCTGGAGTGGAGGACTTTTTAGGTATTGTAATTAAAGCTATTTGGCATTTTCAATGATACATTGTTGTTTAATATTAATAAAAAGTGCGAGTCAGACTCGCATTCAAAAGTTTTGATACCATTATCTTTGAAGAACGCAAAAAATCACGATTGTTGATTAGGAGTATTGGGAGTTATCTTGTAGGGGTTCAATATTTATTTTATTCTGTTAGTATACGTTGTTATAGCGGCAACAGAAATATATCATATGTGAAAATTTCAACTGTTTAGTTATCACGTTATCAAACCCCCAAGACTAAGGCATTTTAACGGGTTTCTAAAATGTATTTTATAGTGTCTCGACACCAGTAATGACTTTTTAGAGATTACTCAACGAGCCGAGGTAACTTATACTCTCCTTGATTTATTATTATTTGAATCGTCTACTTTTTTCTAGGTTCACGCACACGTAAAACGCGATGTGCCAGCGTCGAACGATCAGAACGACAACAAACAACTGCCCGATAAAATTCAAGACCGTGATGGCGACATCATATGCGGTTCTCAAATTGGGGTAAATATTATACGATAGTACCTACATTACCCAAACAAGAAGAAGTTCTATTTACCTTCACATTACAGTGTGGTAGTAGCGAGCTTTGCTTTTTATTCATGTAGGATACAGTAAAGCTACTACTTTGAATTAATAATGTGTATGTCTAAGATTAAGATCGATTATCATAGATATTCTAGGATAGAACTTAGATTATTATTATGAACTATGAGTTATGCTTTTTTTTTAAATCTCTTCACTGTTTTTTTTATTGAAGATTAACATTTGGGTTTTTTACAGGTCAATAATCACGAGACATTGGACGATGTAAGTGAGAATTGTACTTGAAATATAAGTTTTAAAATATATGTGTGTTTAATAAAATAACATTTTAAGAAAAATGCCCAAGATAATTACCGTACTTATGTGCCCAGGATGGAATTAGGATCCATAATAATAAATATTAAAATAACGTGTATATAAATGCTTAGGTTATAAAACAACATAGAATTAACATAGTTTTAATTTACACCTCACATATAATGTTTATGAATATATTTCATTTTAGGAAAATTATATTTTTATTAATATATTTGAGTAATTTGGCTTTCACAATTATATACTCATAAATACCCAAAATACCCTTAAAGAAAATGCTTAACATCGAGTACACTCGAGTCCTATTTCGGGGTACCTGGAGTGGTAGACTTTTTTAGGTATTCTAATTTAAGCTATTTGGCATTTTCAATGATATATTATTGTTTAATATTAATGAAAAGTGCGAGTTGGACTCGCGTTCAAAAGGTTTGGTACCATTATCTTTGAAGAACGCAAAAAATCACGATTGTTGTTTAGGAGTATTGGAAGTTGTATTGAAAGGGTTCAATATTTATTTTATTCTGTTAGTATATGTTGTTATAGCAGCAACAGAAATACATCTTATGTGAAAGTTTCAACTGTTTAGTTATCACGGTATCAAACCCCCAAGACCAAGGTATTTTAACGGGTTTCTAAAAGGTCTTTTATAGTGTCTCGACATCAGTAATGACTTTATAGAGATTACTCAACGAGCCGAGGTAACTTATACTCTCCTTGATTTACTATTATTTGAATCGTCTACTTTTTTCTAGGTTCACGCACACGTAAAACGCGATGTGCCAGCGCCGAATGATCAGAACGACAACAAACAACTGCTCGATAAAATTCAAGACCGTGAAGGCGACATCCTACGCGGTTCTCAAATTGGGGTAAATATTATACGATAGTACCTACATTACCCAAACAAGAAGAAGTTTATTTACCTTCACATTACAGTGTGGTAGTAGCGAGCTTTGCTTTTTATTCATGTAGGATACAGTTAAGCTACTACTTTGAATTAAATATTGTGTATGTCTAAGATTAAGATCGATTATCATAGATATTCTAGGATAGCACTTAGATGAAATTATATGAACTATATGTTATTTTATAATTTTTTAAATTCATTCACTCTTTTTTTAATTGTAAATTAATATTTATGTTTTTTCAGGTCAATAATCACAAAACATTGGACTATGTAAGTGTGAATTGTACTTGAAATATAAGTTTTACTATATGTTGATAAATAAAATTACATTTTAAAGAAAAATGCCAAAAATCCGTACTTATATACCCGAGATGACATTTGAATCCATAATATAAAAATTGATGTAACATATATATTTAATTTTTATGTTATAAAATAAAATAGAAAAGACAAAGTTTTAATTTTAACTTTACATATAATCTTTATGAATATATTTGATTTTAGGTACCATTATATTTTGTATTAATATAATTGACTATTTTTGCATTCACTATTCTATACTCATAAATATCCAAAATACCTTTAATGAAGATGCTTAACATCAAGTATACTCGAGTTCTATTTCGGGGTACCTGGAGGGGTGGACTTTGTATTTTTATTAAAGCTATTTGGCAATTTCAATGATATATTGTTGTTCAATATTAATGAAAAGTGCGAGTCGGACCCGCGTTCAAAAGGTTTGGTACCATTATATTTGAAGAATGCAAAAAAACATGATTGTTGTTTAGGAGTATTGGGAGTTGCATTGAAGAGGTTCAATTTTTATTTTATTCTGTTAGTATATGTTGTCATAAAGGCAATAGAAATACATCATATGTGAAAATTTGAACTGTCTAGTTACCACGGTATCAAACCCCAAAGACAAAGGCATTTTAACGGGTTTCTAAAAGGTCTTTTATAGTGTTTCGATATCAGCAATGACTTTTCGAGATTACTCAACAAGCCGAGGTAACTTATACTCTCCCTGATTTACCATTACTTTAATCGACTACTCTTTTCTAGGTTCACGCTTACGTAAAACGCGATGTATCAGCGTCGAATGATCAGAACGACAACAAACAACTGCCCGATAAAATTCAAGACCGTGAAGGCGACATCATATGCGGTTCTCAACTTGGGGTAAATATTATACGATACCACCTACATTACACAACCAAGAAAAAGTTTATTTACGATATTTACCTTCACATTACAGTGTGGTAGTAGCGAGCTGTGCTTTTTATTCATGTAGGATACAGTAAAGCTACTACTTTGAATTAAATAATGTGTATCTCTAAGATTAAAATCAATCATCATTGATATATTAAGGTAGAACTTAGATAAAATATTAAGAACTATGATTTATGTTTTTTTTTTAAATCCTTTCAGTGTTTTATTTGAAGATTAAAATTTGGATTTTTTACAGGTCAATAATCACAAGACATTGGACCATGTAAGTGTGAATTTTACTTGAAATATAAGTTTTACAATATATTCTTTAAATAAAATCACATTTTGAAGGAAAATACCAAAATAATAACCGTACTTATGTGCCCAGGATAGGATTAGGATCCATATAATAAATATCAGAATAACGTTTATATAAATGCTTAGGTTATAAAACAACATAGAATAAACATAGTTTTAATTTACACCTTCCATGTAATGTTTATGAATATATATCACATTAAGCAAATTATATTTTTTAATAATATATTTGAGTAATTTTGCATTCACAATTATATACTGATAAATACCCAAAATTCACTTAATGAAAATGCAAACAATCTAAAGCTAACATCGAGTATACTCGAGTCCCATTTCAGGGTACCTGGAGTGGTAGACTTTTTTAGGTTTTCTCATTAAAGCTATTTGGCACTTTCAATGATATTTTGTTGTTTAATATTAATGAAAACTGCGAGTCAGACTCGCGTTCAAAAGGTTTGGTTTCATTATCTTTGTAGAACGCAAAAAGTCACAATTGTTGTTTAGGAGTATTGGGAGTTATTTGGTAGGGGTTCAATATTTATTTTATTCTGTTAGTATATGTTGTTGTAGCGGCAACAGAAATACATCATATGCGAAAATTTCAACTGTCTAGTTATCACGTTATCAAACCCCTAAGACTAAGGCATTATAACGGGTTTCTAAAAGGTATTTTATTGTGTCTCGACATCAGTAATGACTTTTTAGATGTTACTCAACGAGCCCAGGTAACTTATACTCTCCCTGATTTACTATTATTTTAATCGTCTACATTTTTCTAGATTCATGCACACGTAAAACGCGATGTGCCAGCGTCGAACGATCAGAACGACAACAAACAACTGCCCGATAAAATTCAAGACCGTGATGGCGACATCATATGCGGTTCTCAAATTGGGGTAAATATTATACGATAGTACCTACATTACCTAAACAAGAAAAAGTTTATATACGATATTTACCTTCACATTACAGTGTGGTAGTAACGAGCTTTGCTTTTTTTTTCATGTAGGATATAGTAAAGCTACTACTTTGAATTAAGTAATGTGTATCTCTGAGATTAAAATCAATCATCATAGATATTCTAGGGTAGAACTTAGATTATATATTATGAACTATGAGTTATGCTTTTTTTTTAAATCTCTTCAGTGTTTTTTTTATTGAAGATTAACATTTGGGTTTTTTACAGGTCAATAATCACGAGACATTGGACGATGTAAGTGAGAATTTTATTTGAAATATAAGTTTTAAAATATATATGCGTTTAATAAAATAACATTTATAAGAAAAAAACCCAAGATAATTACCGTACTTATGTGCCCAGGGTGGTATTCGGATCCATAAAATAAATATTAAAATAACGTGTATATAAATGCTTAGGTTATAAAACAACATAGAATTAACATAGTTTTAATTTACACCTCACATATAATGTTTATGAATATTTCATTTTAGGTAAATTATATTTTTATTAATATATTTGAGTACTTTGGCTTTCACAATTATATACTCATAAATACCCAAAATACACTTAAAGAAAATGCTTAACATCGAGTACACTCGAGTCCTATTTCGGGGTACCTGGAGTGGTAGATTTTTTTAGGTATTCTAATTAAAGCTATTTGGCATTTTCAATGATATGTTGTTGTTTAATATTAATGAAAAGTGCGAGTTGGACTCGCGTTCAAAAGGTTTGGTACCGTTATCTTTGAAGAACGCAAAAAATCACGATTGTTGTTTAGGAGTATTGGGAGTTGTATTGAAGGGGTTCAATATTTATTTTATTCTGTTAGTATATGTTGTTATAGCAGCAACAGAAATACATCTTATGTGAAAGTTTCAACTGTTTAGTTATCACGGTATCAAACCCCCAAGACTAAGGCATTTTAACGGGTTTCTAAAAGGTCTTTTATAGTGTCTCGACATCAGTAATGACTTTATAGAGATTACTCAACGAGCCGAGGTAACTTATACTCTCCTTGATTTACTATTATTTGAATCGTCTACTTTTTTCTAGGTTCACGCACACGTAAAACGCGATGTGCCAGCACCGAATGATCAGAACGACAACAAACAACTGCCCGATAAAATTCAAGACCGTGAAGGCGACACCATATGCGGTTCTCAAATTGGGGTAAATATTATACGATACTACCTACATTACACAACCAAGAAAAAGTTTATTTACGATATTTACCCTCACATTACAGTGTGGTAGTAGCGAGTTTTGCTTTTTTTTCATGTAGGATACAGTAAAGCTACTACTTTTAATTAAATAATGTGTGTAATCTCTAAGATTAAAATCAATTATCATAAATATTTTAGGATAGAACTTAGATAAAATATTATGAACTATAAGTTATTATTATTTATTAAATCGATTCGGTATTTTTTTTATTGAAGATTAATATTTGTGTTTTGTTTAACAGGTCAATAATCACAAAACATCGGGTGACGTAAGTGTGAATTTTACTTTAAATATAAGTTTTAGAATATGTTCATAAAAAATTACAATTTAAAGAAAAATGCCAAAAAATACCGTACTTATATGCCTGAGACGGTATTTGAATCCATAAAATAAATATTAGAATAACGTATATATAAATGCTTAAGTTATGAAAGAACATAGAATAAACATAGTTTTAATTTACACCTTGCATATAATTCATTTAGATGTGAAACAGTCTTGCTATTTTATAAAAGAAACAGTATAGAGGTTTAATGCTATGAAACCTTCAAAATTTTTTAAAGTGGGTTATAAACAAATCCTTGGTTCCCTTAGGTAGTGACCTGTACTGTGAGCTTGTTTAGTATTTGTTTTTTTTTCTTTATGTTTCAAATAAATAATGTACATTATATTTGATTATATTTTATATTAATATATTTGAGAATTTTGCATTCACCATTACATACTAACAAATACCCAAAATACCTTTAATGAAAATACATCGTATATACTCGAGTCCCTTCTCGGGATATCAGGAGTGGTGGACTTTTAAGTATTCTCATTAAAGCGAACTTAGATAAAATAATAATGTAATTATTATTTTTTAATTTGTTTGTTATTTTAATTAAAAATAATATTTGTGCTTTCTTACATATCAATAATCACAAAAGATTGGATGATGTAAGTGTGAATTTTACTTAAAATATAAATTTTACAAAATGTTTATAAACAAAATTACATTTTGAAGAAGGACCTCAAAAGATAATAAAGGGTTCATGTACAGTGTATATAATCTACGGTTTCATAGCATTATACTGGTATAAAGTATATTCGTATAAATCCTATTACAATTCATATAAAAATTAGGTTAGGTTAGATTACAGTAATTATATGCTGACCATAATATAAGAAAATGCACTATCAATATTTTACTTATGAAAAAAAAATTTGAAGTACAAAAAGAAGGGAAAGAAGAAGACAAGTAAATAACTGATTTCAATAATCATACAAAATTTAAGTAAAAACTATACCATAACTAAATAATTTAGTGACATTTCTATTAACAGAAAATTTTGTATTTCTTTTACAGTTTAACAAACGTAAATGATGTCCAGTCTATGTGGTGTCACCTCTACTTGAAACAATTTTACAACATGTACAAGATTAGTTATTAAATTACTAATTATAATATATTCTCACTGAAATATAGCCATTTCATTCAAATCTAAATGTTTTATTTTTGTGTCAATACTGAGTATTATTAATAGTACTTTAGTACTTTCGTTTACCCTCTATAAAATCTTCAACAGTTTATAATTATATGTTTTACTAGCTGTTTTCTTGCAACTTTACCCCAAAAATTTTTACCAATAAGTGATAAGGATGGTCCATCCTAAATTTATATGGCAAAACAACGGGACAGCTGCTATTATATAGAGGATATGTTTGATTGTAATTTACATTGAATGAGATCCGAAACAGCTTGCATGACTTAAAATAAATATCACTAACAGGCAGTTACCTCATACGCAAGTAACATAGCTATTTATAAAAAGGTCATATATTAAGAATTTATCATTTATTTTATGTGTGTATTGATTATAATACTATTTCAATTGTATAGTTATTTAGTATTACTTAACAGAATTTTAAACTACTGGGCTTGTTTCTTTCTTTTTAGTTTTTATTAAGTTAATTCTTTACCATTAATTTATTTATAACAATAAAAAAATGGCCCTTAATGAATATCATCAAATAAAAGAGCATTAAGTTTTATACATTTTAGTCCAACCCTATAGGAATGATACGCAAAAGGAACTGAGTGCTAGAGTTTTTTTCCATTTCCTTGGCATTAAAAGCCATGTTTAAGAATTTTATCATGAAGTTTTTCTTGGCCTTTTAGGGCATCTATATAATTTTTTTTTTTGGTTTAGTTTGACAGGACGAAAACTAAACTAAGTTCAGTTTATTGCAACAGAATTGTCACCGTTATACGAATTAGATTTTAGTGAGCTTCAATGATCTTTTAACTTAACTAACAAGAAGTCCATCTGTATTTTAATGTACAATTAAAGTACTCTAGATGGTTAGAGATGATAAGGATGTCTCCCCAATGATCTAAACGACATCGACAAGCGATTAAGATGTGACGTTATTCTAAAAGCGACTTGAAATGTCAACATCAGACTGAAAATGAAGCGTTGTTTCCAACAGCAAATGATATACTGTTCATCAAATTAAAATAATTGAATAGATATTATAATTATGCCAATGATTTTTTACTAGTATTTTAAATTATTTACCAAATATTATTTATTATATTAGTTGAAGGTTAAGCTCATGGAAAAACAGTTATTGTAACTTATGTCACAATCATATTCATAATAACTATTCATCACCAGCCTCTTAATGTGCCCACTGCTGGGGCTCAAGGCTTCCCTATGGATGGAATCAAATCGAATCTGATAGGGAGAATGGGCCATGACCCACCACGCGGGCCTATGCGGAGTTTAACGACTGAAGGTGCAGCCGGGACCAACGGCTTAACGTGCCTTCCGAAGCACGAAGGAGTTTAATGTAATGAATTTTTGGTCACCCATCCCATGACCGGCCATTGCAAAAGTTGCTGAACATCCGTTTTACAGACCGAGCGCGCTCTTTGATCTGTGAATAATAATTATTTCACAGTTATTTAGTAGGTGATGTAACATAATTTTTCGCTTGAATACTTTAAATTATAAATTAGAAAATGGGCTGTACGTTAATAATTATCTTATTTTATAAACTATTGTGTGTTAAACTATTGTTAAACTGATAAATGAATACCACAAAACATAGTAATATAGGAGCATTAAAAAAGAAAGAACTTACTAACGAATACATATATCTCACTAAATATTTTAATGAAACATAAGTTACTTTTGTATATTTACCTGCTATTTTGTCCAGGAGCGAAAACAAAAACATTATGTTCTAATTTTTATAGCTACAGGCCAAAACAAAGAATTTTCATAGAAACGTTTTCACCCTATTCAACCTTCTTTGGGGTGGAATTGACATTCTTAGTATAAGCTCTAAGTGATAATACCCTCTGAATTTCAAATCTCCACAATCAGTGGACTAATCTATGCGTTGTCTGTCAGTGCGTATGTCCGGACAAAGATTTCTGTAATATATATATGGAGACGAATTGAGAGACTTTAAAGTCTGTTTAACCCCCAAATAAAGTTTTACCGCACTAAATATATGAAATCGAATTGTAGCCACGCGTTGCGTCAAGTTCGCGCGGACAAGATATAACCACAGTTAACTTCTTAAGGTCGGGCGTCCGATACCAACGTTATTCGCCTACCCACGAGTGTCGCGTGGCGGGGCAGACTAGATATAACTGTAACTTTAGTAAGGAACACATACGACACAGTGGTCTTAAAATTTCGCAAGGACCGGTCATAGAGTGGGTGAACAATAATTTATTAGCTTGAGTTCCTCTGCTTGCTGCGTGTTTTAGGCGGTATGTTAAGCTATCAATACCCTCTACATCTGCAGTCATTAGAACTCGCTAATCTACAGTTGGCGTAGTGAATTATGAACCTATTCGATTTATTAATTTACTTTCTTATGTGAATATAAACACGGAACCTATAAAGGGTCCGAAACGTGTAAAACTAAATAAAAACGTGATGAAACCGTTTAAAAGTTGTTTCATTTATGGATAGTTCGAGTGAAAATATAAGAAATCAATATCTATTCGATTTAATTTGAACGCCGGTTCTTCAGCAGTGGGCATATTAATAGGCTGATGATAATGATGATGATGAGAATACAATATCCATTGTCTCTTTATATGAAAGATAAAGAGTAATTTTATGGAGCACGAATAATAGTTTTGGTCATAAACGAGGCCTAAACTTAGTAGAGCAGATAGAGCAGATTTTGGAAATCAATAGTAAATATATAAACTGTAATACGGGACTACATACTAAACAACTCATGCTTAATATAGACTCACTGAACAAAACCTTAGAAAGTGTACCACCGGATTTTGCCACAACTCAACTTTTTACTAACCACGGCTACCACCTAGAGTACGATATTTACACCGCTTTAAAATAAAAACTACCGACAAATGTCCATGTAATAACACCACTATTCAAACACTCAATCATTTAATTGAAAATTGCCCCAAATTCAATAATTCCCGCTTTAAATATTTACAAACCTTTAGTTACACCTTTAATCATAATCATAATTTAAACCCGTATGATCTCCAAACAGTGATAAATAAAGAAACTACCACAACTGCATACATAAAATACATTCGTCATATAATAAACAATATTAAAGAATTTAATAAAAACATAATCTAAATCCACAGATCCAAACCACAAAGTAATACAAACAAAAACCAAAGATTTAAACTGCTCGTATACCATTAGCGAGAGATTTTTATCTAATCTTAAAAGAGACGAATAAAAAAAATGTAGAGCAGATGGCCTAATTTTGGCCATTGGACCCCTTTTGACCAATGGCAATTTTATCGTAGACAATCTCTAAAATGTACAATTATGGAAAATCTGCCCTACTTGATTTAAATCATTGGGCACTAAAAGCAAATTGATAAATGGAAAACATTAAATTGAGATTCTGATAATAAATTTTTTATTTACTATATTTAACGCGAAAGGTGTTCTAGCCATTTTGAAAGGCGATTACTTCTTTATTTTATTACATTTCAAAATTATTACGTTGCTTCTTGTCATTAAAATTATTTAAGGGAAAATCACCTTACAGTCTAATAAAGTCAGTTGTTTGTTTGTTACACATAATGTTAATATATTGTTATTGAGTTGGATATGACATGGTTTTAGTATATAGAGCAGGGGACTTCCTTACTCTAGTTGTTTATGGGCAATGCGAAAGGAATGAAGAGGGAACTGGTGGTAAATAAAAAAGTGGATGATTTAAAAGAGCTAGTTATCCTATATACTCTGCAAGAAATTAACCTGATGACTTAGAAAGACAGATATAGTTAATATTTCTCTCTCACTCTTGTCACCAGGGAGGCATTGTAAAGCGAAATGTAACTACTAGTCCGAATTTATTGAACAACCTGCAAACTAATATAGTACAGTTAAGGAATTGCGTCGACCAGAGTCTGGCTTCCGTCATGAGTAATGTGAATGAGCAGCAGTTGCAGCCTATATTCAATATAGTGAGTGACACACTGAATCGGGTATCTAAAGCAGTAAGTATAACGGCCTAAATTCATTTATCGTTGGTAAAAAAAATGAGATAGACTATCAATTTTAGTCATTTTTTAGTGTTGTGATTTTTCAGTGGTTAGGATTTGGTTTCGAAATCATTTTTAATTAGAATTGTGTGGTTGTGATTTCATTATAAAGTTACATTCTTACTAAAATATTTTCATATAATAAAGAGCCATGCTTTTAATACTGCCCTAATAACACAATCTACGCCTTAGTCAACACATGTGACTTAACGTTTTCTACCGTCAAATAATTTATATTATAAAGAGTAATAATTTTACTGTTTGTTTGAATTTATTATATTAGTTCAATTTTATGTTGACAATCATTTCATTCGTATATTCGAGTAGCTCGATGGCGTAGGATTAGCGCTGCGGCACGCGATCGTTGTCGTTAAGTAACTTTCGCAAGGGTCGGTCACGGTATGGGTCACCAAAAAATTATTATCTCGAGCTACTCCGTGCTTCAGAAAGCACGTTAAGCCAGTTAGTCCCGGCTGCATTTGTAGTCGTTAATACCCGCCAATCCGCATTGGGCCAGCGTGGTCATGATGATGATGATGATGATGATGATGATATACTATTATTAATCTTAACTTATTATTACTAGTGCTAATAATCTAAGAATATTATTATTTAAAGCTTTTGCTCAAATGTGCTTAGTTATATTGACTTCAGAACTAAACTAATAAAATATAAAGAAGAAAACTTTAATTGTTTATTTGTTTGCACTGAATAGGCTCCGAAACTACTGGACTATGTAACCAGCGAACAATCAAAATATCAATAAGTATCATAATCCTCCTTTTTTTTCGTAGTCTCATAACAACAACAACTGTCTGGAAGTTTTATTATGTTTTGAACAGTAATTAGTCTCAAATTCAATTGTATATCAAACTTGAAACATTAAAGTCTGAATTGAAGTAGGCTAGAAATACATCTTAGCAAAACTAGAACAGTGATTTTAAATTGTCAATTCATTACCTAATTATATATTATATAGAATATTATTACCTAATTTTATTATAATTTATCATGATTTCATTATTTATGTTCACAGTTTGAAGACTTGACAGCAACAACTAGTGTTCCATTGCAAATCAAAAACTGAATACCCTTTCTGCAATTTGAAGTATCACTCATGACTATCTACACAACATTATCTGGAATCTGTTAGTTTGCTTTACGATTTGTTACACTATTCTGTAATAAAACCGGACTTAAAACATCGCTGTCATACCATAGAGGTTCAATAAAACAAAACCGTTAATACCCATCGAAGTATTTTTTATTTCATGAGCGCTGGGAACAACGTCGAGTTCTATTACTCATTGCATTAATTATAATATTTTTAGAATGCATTTATTACACTAACAGTTTAATTATTATTATGGAATTTGTGTGTTATTCCGCCTCTAATAACGAGACCATAATAACCTCAATATCAGAAATATGATTATTTTATCAACCTCCAAACGTTTTAATCCCAAAGATTATTTTTGATTTCCAATATGTTGATTACTGTGTACTATTATAAATATAATAACATAAATCTAAAACAAAATATATCGTTTCTTAAAAATTGACAATATACGATATGACAATAATCAGTTTCGTTTTTATTTTACGAAAACAATAAAGTTTCTATATTTATACATCGCATATCAAATTTTGGTTTAAAACAATATAATTTAAAAAGTTAAAATTCATAGTAATAATAATAATTATAATGGTTACGTCAAAGATAATATTTTTAATTTTGTTCTAAAATTTAATGAAGTTTGGTATGTTACTTGGAACAGTTACTATTAAGATTTTTGTTTGATAGTGATATCATATATTATATGGATTGAATGTTTTGCATTGACTGTTTGTATTAATCGATTAGCGCTATCTACCAGTTTGATTTTCAAATGAATAAATACACTAACAAAGTCAAAAAAAGTTATTTTGTATTTTGCAGATAAATGAAGCTCGGAGGGCTATTATAGTGGCTGAACATTTAGAATTAAATTGTATAATTTTATAAACTATTTTATTTTACAGCTGCTTTTATGTTAACTATTCTAAATTAGAATGCCTTTTTTGTATGGGGATCCGTACCAACTTACATAAGCTAAATTTACTCTCAACGAGCCAAAATTATATTTAACTTTTCACTACCATCAAGATTTTATCATAATTACACCGCATTTTTGAGATATTCGAAAAAAATAAGTGTTCAACACTTTCCGTTTATAATAATTGTTTTATACTATAATAATTCACTTGTGAACTTAACATTCACTTGTGACGGTATCTAAAGGAAAATATTTAAATCATTGTCAGTTTATGAAAGTGATTTTTCAGATATAAATGTTTTCACAGAAACAGGTGAATTGTTAATTAATTATTTATCATCACATTTTAATGCGGTTAAAATATGGCTTAAATACCAGTGGTAAATACATATAAATAAAAGATATTTTTTTGGTAATGATACAATACGGTGCACATTAAAACAATTTCCTTTTAATTTGAAATGTCATAATGATTCAACCAGAAATTAATAAATAGTTAGAAATTACGAATTGACAGAAGTTTTAGTTCCTCCTTGTCCCGTGACACGTAAGTATATACCGGGTGTGGAGCACCATTTTAAATTGGATATCCCGTGTATATTTTACTTTTAGTTCCTTTTCTTGAACAATTGTTAAAAAAATATGAAAGCAACAATAAAACAAAATAAACTGTATAAGTGATGAATATACTATGAATTTTATTACTTGACACACATTTTATCACTCTACAGTCGTCCCTTATCCAATGTGTTTTTCCTACTTGATTACGTGTTCCTTGATATGAAGATTTCCGGAAAAACTTTGATCCGAAGTCGATAAGGATGGAAAGTATCAGTATATTATAAATATGATTTTCTTCTTGGCATACTTGAATCTAAACACAGCTTTTGAACTGTAAAGAAGTCAGGCTACGACTTGGAAATGAAAAAATACTTGGTTCTCTTATTAGTGATCTTTACTGTGAGCGTGAGTAGTATTTGTTTTTTTTTTCTTTATGTCGTACATAAATGTACATTATATTTTATTATATTTTGTATTAATATGTCAGAGAAATTTTGCATTCCATATTACATACATATAAATACCTTTAGTGAAAATACCTGGAGTGGTGGACTTTTAAAGTATTCTCATTAAAGCTATTAGGCATTTTCGATGATATATTGTTATTTAATATTAATGAAAAGTTTGAGTCGGACTTGCGTTCCAAGGTTTGGTACCATTATCTTTGAAGAACGCAAAAATTACGATTGGTGTTTAGGAGTATTGGGAGTTGTATTGAAGGGGTTTAATATTTATTTTATTCTGTAAGTATATTTTGTATCATATTAGCGGCAACATCATATGGGAAAAATTCAACTGTCTAGTTATCACGGTATCAAACCCCCAAAACTAAGGCTTCTTTAACGGGCTTCTAAACGATCCTTTATAGTGTCTTGATCTCAATAATGACATTTTAGAGATTACTCAATGAGCCGAGATAATTTATACTCTCCCTGATTTACTATTATTTTAATCGTCTACCTTTTTCTAGGTTCACGCACACGTAAAACGCGATGTGCCAGCGTCGAACGATCAGAACGACAACAAACAACTGCCCGATAAAATTCAAGACCGTGATGGCGACACCATATGCGGTTCTCAAATTGGGGTAAATATTATACGATAGTACCTCCATTACTCAATCATGAAGAACTTTATTTACGATATTTACCTTCACATTACTGTGTGGTAGTAGCGATATTTGCTTTTGCATTCATGTAGGCGACATAACTGTCGCCTACATGAATAAAAAGCAAACTTTTTTGAATTAAATAATGTGTATCTCTAATATTAAGATCAATTTTCATAGATATTTTAGGGCAGAACTTAGATAAAGTATTATGAACTAGAAGGCTTTATTTTATTTTTTTAAATCCATTCAGTGTTTTTTTTTTATTAAAGATAAATATTTGTGTTTTTTACAGGTCAATAATCAGAAAACATTGGATTATGTAAGTGTGGATTTTACTTGAGTATAAAATTTTACAATATGTTGGTAAATAAAATTTTATTTTAAGGAAATATGTATGATAAAAATTCTGATAAATACTCAAAATATCCTTAATGAAAATGCTTAACATCTAGTATACTCAAGTCCCATCTCAGGGAACCGGGAATGGTAGACTTTTCAAGGTATTATCATTAAAGCTATTTGGGATTTTCAATTATATATTGTTGTTAAATATTAATGAAAAGTGCGAGTCGGACTCGCGTTTAATAGGTTCGGTACCATTATGTAGGAAAAACGCAAAAAATCATGGTTGTTGTTTAGGAGCATTGAGAGTTGTATCGAAGGGGTTTAATATTTATTTTATTCTGTTAGTATATGTTGTTACAGCGGCAACAGAAATATATCATATGTGAAAATTTTAACTGTTTAGTTATCACGGTATCAAACCCCCAAGACTAAGGCTTCTTTAACGGGTTTCTAAAAGGTCTTTTATAGTGTCTTGACCTCAATCATGACATTTTAGAGATTACTCAATGAGCCGAGATAATTTATACTCTCCCTGATTTACTATTATTTTAATCGTCTACCTTTTTCTAGGTTCACGCACACGTAAAACGCGATGTGCCAGCGTCGAACGATCAGAACGACAACAAACAACTGCCCGATAAAATTCAAGACCGTGATGGCGACACCATATGCGGTTCTCAAATTGGGGTAAATATTATACGATAGTACCTCCATTACTCAATCATGAAGAACTTTATTTACGATATTTACCTTCACATTACTGTGTGGTAGTTGCGATATTTGCTTTTGCATTCATGTAGGCGACATAACTGTCGCCTACATGAATAAAAAACAAACTTTTTTGAATTAAATAATGTGTATCTCTAATATTAAGATCAATTTTCATAGATATTTTAGGGCAGAACTTAGATAAAGTATTATGAACTAGAAGGCTTTATTTTATTTTTTTAAATCCATTCAGTGTTTTTTTTTTATTAAAGATAAATATTTGTGTTTTTTACAGGTCAATAATCAGAAAACATTGGATTATGTAAGTGTGGATTTTACTTGAGTATAAAATTTTACAATATATTGGTAAATAAAATTATATTTTAAGGAAATATGTATGATAAAAATACTGATAAATACTCAAAATACCCTTAATGAAAATGCTTAACATCTAGTATACTCAAGTCCCATCTCAGGGAACCGGGAATGGTAGACTTTTCAAGGTATTATCATTAAAGCTATTTGGGATTTTCAATTATATATTGTTGTTAAATATTAATGAAAAGTGCGAGTCGGACTCGCGTTTAATAGGTTCGGTACCATTATGTAGGAAAAACGCAAAAAATCATGGTTGTTGTTTAGGAGCATTGAGAGTTGTATCGAAGGGGTTTAATATTTATTTTATTCTGTTAGTATATGTTGTTACAGCGGCAACAGAAATATATCATATGTGAAAATTTTAACTGTTTAGTTATCACGGTATCAAACCCCCAAGACTAAGGCTTCTTTAACGGGTTTCTAAAAGGTCTTTTATAGTGTCTTGACCTCAATAATGACATTTTAGAGATTACTCAATGAGCCGAGATAATTTATACTCTCCCTGATTTACTATTATTTTAATCGTCTACCTTTTTCTAGGTTCACGCACACGTAAAACGCGATGTGCCAGCGTCGAACGATCAGAACGACAACAAACAACTGCCCGATAAAATTCAAGACCGTGATGGCGACACCATATGCGGTTCTCAAATTGGGGTAAATATTATACGATAGTACCTCCATTACTCAATCATGAAGAACTTTATTTACGATATTTACCTTCACATTACTGTGTGGTAGTAGCGATATTTGCTTTTGCATTCATGTAGGCGACATAACTGTCGCCTACATGAATAAAAAGCAAACTTTTTTGAATTAAATAATGTGTATCTCTAATATTAAGATCAATTTTCATAGATATTTTAGGGCAGAACTTAGATAAAGTATTATGAACTAGAAGGCTTTATTTTATTTTTTTAAATCCATTCAGTGTTTTTTTTTTATTAAAGATAAATATTTGTGTTTTTTACAGGTCAATAATCAGAAAACATTGGATTATGTAAGTGTGGATTTTACTTGAGTATAAAATTTTACAATATATTGGTAAATAAAATTATATTTTAAGGAAATATGTATGATAAAAATACTGATAAATACTCAAAATACCCTTAATGAAAATGCTTAACATCTAGTATACTCAAGTCCCATCTCAGGGAACCGGGAATGGTAGACTTTTCAAGGTATTATCATTAAAGCTATTTGGGATTTTCAATTATATATTGTTGTTAAATATTAATGAAAAGTGCGAGTCGGACTCGCGTTTAATAGGTTCGGTACCATTATGTAGGAAAAACGCAAAAAATCATGGTTGTTGTTTAGGAGCATTGAGAGTTGTATCGAAGGGGTTTAATATTTATTTTATTCTGTTAGTATATGTTGTTACAGCGGCAACAGAAATATATCATATGTGAAAATTTTAACTGTTTAGTTATCACGGTATCAAACCCCCAAGACTAAGGCTTCTTTAACGGGTTTCTAAAAGGTCTTTTATAGTGTCTTGACCTCAATAATGACATTTTAGAGATTACTCAATGAGCCGAGATAATTTATACTCTCCCTGATTTACTATTATTTTAATCGTCTACCTTTTTCTAGGTTCACGCACACGTAAAACGCGATGTGCCAGCGTCGAACGATCAGAACGACAACAAACAACTGCCCGATAAAATTCAAGACCGTGATGGCGACACCATATGCGGTTCTCAAATTGGGGTAAATATTATACGATAGTACCTCCATTACTCAATCATGAAGAACTTTATTTACGATATTTACCTTCACATTACTGTGTGGTAGTAGCGATATTTGCTTTTGCATTCATGTAGGCGACATAACTGTCGCCTACATGAATAAAAAGCAAACTTTTTTGAATTAAATAATGTGTATCTCTAATATTAAGATCAATTTTCATAGATATTTTAGGGCAGAACTTAGATAAAGTATTATGAACTAGAAGGCTTTATTTTATTTTTTTAAATCCATTCAGTGTTTTTTTTTTATTAAAGATAAATATTTGTGTTTTTTACAGGTCAATAATCAGAAAACATTGGATTATGTAAGTGTGGATTTTACTTGAGTATAAAATTTTACAATATATTGGTAAATAAAATTATATTTTAAGGAAATATGTATGATAAAAATACTGATAAATACTCAAAATACCCTTAATGAAAATGCTTAACATCTAGTATACTCAAGTCCCATCTCAGGGAACCGGGAATGGTAGACTTTTCAAGGTATTATCATTAAAGCTATTTGGGATTTTCAATTATATATTGTTGTTAAATATTAATGAAAAGTGCGAGTCGGACTCGCGTTTAATAGGTTCGGTACCATTATGTAGGAAAAACGCAAAAAATCATGGTTGTTGTTTAGGAGCATTGAGAGTTGTATCGAAGGGGTTTAATATTTATTTTATTCTGTTAGTATATGTTGTTACAGCGGCAACAGAAATATATCATATGTGAAAATTTTAACTGTTTAGTTATCACGGTATCAAACCCCCAAGACTAAGGCTTCTTTAACAGGTTTCTAAAAGGTCTTTTATAGTGTCTTGATCTCAATAATGACATTTTAGAGATTACTCAATGAGCCGAGATAATTTATACTCTCCCTGATTTACTATTATTTTAATCGTCTACCTTTTTCTAGGTTCACGCACACGTAAAACGCGATGTGCCAGCGTCGAACGATCAGAACGACAACAAACAACTGCCCGATAAAATTCAAGACCGTGATGGCGACACCATATGCGGTTCTCAAATTGGGGTAAATATTATACGATAGTACCTCCATTACTCAATCATGAAGAACTTTATTTACGATATTTACCTTCACATTCCCATATGGTAGTAGCGAGCTTCGATTTTTATTCATGTAGGATATAATAAATCTCCTACTTTTTTATCATTATTTTATTTATTAACAGAACCATCCAGTGTTTTTTTAATTAATATTTGTGCTTATTTACAGGTCAATAATCAAAAAATATTAAATGATGTAATTTTTCCATTATCAAAAACCCATTAATGATTATTCCCGGTAAAGACCGTAATAACGATGTTAAAACAAATGTCGTTATATAGGTAAGTGTTATTGGTGTTACTATTTAAGCTATAAATCCTATAGACAATGTAAAGGTTAAGATGTACAAGTGTACCTCAATGATTGGAAGTGTCACGGTTGATCATTATTGATCGTGGTTTGTTGTTGGTGTGAAACAGCTTTGCTATTCTATAGAAGAAACAGTATAGAGGTTTAATCTTATAAAACTTTTAAATGTTCGAAGTAGGTAATGAACAAATACTTGGTTTCCTTATTAGTGATCTGTACTGTGAGCGTGAGTTGTATTTGCTTTTTTTCTTTACGTCGTACATAAATAATGTATCTTATATTTGATTATATTTTGTATTAATTTATTCGAGAAATTCTACATTCACAATTACATACTGACAAATACCCAAAATACCTTCAATAATAATACATCGAATATACTAGAGTGTACATATCTGGAGTGGTGGACTTTTAATTATTTACATTACAGCGAACTTAAATAAAATAATATTTTAGTTTTTTTTTAATTTCTTTGTTTTTTAATTAAAAATAAAATTATGTTTTAAAGAAGGACCTAAAAAGATATACAGTGTATATAATTTTTGGTTTTATTGCATTATACGGGTATAAAATATATTCGTATAAATCCTATTAAAATGAATATAAAAATTAGTTAAGGTTAGATTTTAGTAATTATGAACTAACCATCATATAAGGAAACGCGCAATCAATATTTTACTAATAAAAAAAAAATTAAGTACAGAAAGAAGGGAAAGAAGAAGACAAGGAAATAACTGATTTCAAAAGTCATACACAATTTATGTTAAAAACTATACCATAATTAAATAATTTAGTGACTTTTTTATTAACAGAAAGTTTTGTATTTCTTTTACAGTTTGACAAACGTGAATGATGTCCAGTCTATGTGGTGTCACCTCTACTTGATACAATTTTACAACATGTACAAGATTGGTTATTAAATTACTAGGTATAATATATTCTTACTGAAATATAGAAATTTCTTTCAAATCCAAATGTTTTATTTTTGTGTCAACACTGAGTATTATTTATAGTACTTTTGTGTACCCACTATAAAATCTTCAACAGTTTATAATTATATACTTTATTAGCTGTTTTCTTGCAACTTCGCTCCATATTTTTATACCAATAAGTAATAAGGATGGTCCATCCTAAATGTATATGGCAAAACAACGGGACAGCTAGTATTATATAGAGGATATGTTTGATTCTTATTTGCATTGGATGAGATCAGAAACAGGGCTTCATGGAATCAAATCGTTTCTGATATGGAGAGTGGGCCATGACCCACCACGTGGGCCTATGCGGATTTTAACGACTGAAGATGCAGCCGGGACCAACGGCTTAACGTGCCTTCCGAATCACGGAGGAGTTCAAGGTGATGAATTTTTGGTCACCCATCCCATGACCGGCCATTGCAAAAGTTGCTGAATAACCGTCTCGCAGACCGAGCGCGCTCCTTGATCTGTGAATAATAACACAGGTCTGCGATGAAAAAGTTTTTTTGAGAATTTTAAGGATAACTTGCACATGTTGACATAGATAATGCAAATATAAACTTTTTTTTATTGTAACACATCACATTTTTTTTTTATCGGCATATTATATTTATAATAAATTTTTCATACACCCTACAAATGAAACTCGACCATTTAGACAGATTACCCAAAGATGCTGAAGAATTAGTCGGTTCACGCTTAAAAGAGAACAATTTATTGGATGTGGAGACGATATTTTAGTGATATCGAATAAGAGAACCAGATTTTTACAGTATTTCAATATAGAAGATAGTATGGTATTTTGCTGTGATATTAGCGGCTTAATACAAAAATTTCACATAGAATACAAAGCAGAAGAGTGGCGACTTTTATAGATTCATTAAAAAAAGTTTAAAAGCTCTTCTCTTACATATTGGCAATAAATTTGCATCATTCAGTTCATCTTTTCAGTTATGCAAACTCCGAACACAAATGGTTCATTTGGGGAGACTTAATACTCATATGTATGCTTCTTGGTCAACAGCAAGGGTACACAAAATTCCCGTATTATATTTGTGAATGGGACAGTAGAGCAAGAAACTTACATTGGGAAATATCTAATTGGCGTATTAGACCAAAATTGGAGGTTGGAGTAATCATAAAAGTATTGTCACAGAAATGTTAAGCACCTATAAAAACTTGGATTGTAATATGAGTTGGAATGTCCATTTTTTGATATCTCATATTAACGTTTTCCCAAAAAATTTAGGCGATTACAGTCCATCAAGATATAAAAGAGATGGAAAGAAGATTTCAAGGTCGTTGGGACGTTAATATGATGGCGGACTATTGTTGGATGATATGTACTTAGAGATGAAGTAAAAACTCATAATAAAAAACCATCTAAACGCAGTTTCCTTTCAAAGAAAATACGTTATTGATTGTTTTGATTTTATTTTACTCTTTTTTATTTCATTCAAACTCAATAAAGCTTATAAAATTGTAAAATAAGACTTCATTATTTAAAAAAAAATTTGATTGTGTTTATTTATATGCTAATATTAAACCATGTAAATCTGGGAAATGTGACGTGATATATACCAAATAAATGCTGTTTTATATTATTTATAACGTAATTATAACGAATAAGAACAGTTTATGAAAAAAACTTTTCAAAAAAATAATTTCGCAGGCCTGTGTAATTATTTCACAGTTATTTAGTAGGTTATGTAAGATAGTTTTTCGCTTTTACGAATACTTTAAATTATCAAATAAATAGATTAAAATATAAATTAGAAAATGGGCTGTATGTAAATAATTATCTTATTGTATATACTAGGTCTATTTGTTGGGATGTTCCAAACACTAGTAAGATAAGTTATAAATAGCTGCGTAATGTATCCGCACCCTCTCTCTCTTTCGCTCTACACTTTATTAGAGCACGCGTCTTAGTAATAAATAAACCTCTAGATTGTAGCAGCGTTTTAATTACAAGTCCACCAATGGCTGCACACTATTGTGTGTTAAGTTATTGTTAAACTGATAAATAAATACCACAAAACAGTATTTTTTTTTAATTAGGGTTGCTAACTGCTTGAATTACAAAGTAACCTACAAACTACTTATAAGAGCAAATGACAAGCCCCCACAGATGGCGGTAAATTTAACAATAAACAAATATCTCTGACCTCAGTAAAGAACAATGTTATTCAAATACATTGAAGTGCAAAAAACAAAAAGTCAAAATCACCAAAATAGAGAACGTAAAACAATATATATATATATATAAATAATGAGCCTATCAATAAAAATTAATCAATACCACTATGGGTGTTAGCTATAATTTTGTTTATGTATGACAAGCCGTCCGAGAATATGTCGAGTGTAGTATTTTGACCCTTGTTGGTAGCATTAACTAATTTAGATACGCGAATAAGAAACATTGCATAAGAAATATTGATAAGGCATTGCTACGGCGAACTGCACGTATAAATGGAGTATGGAACAAATTTCTAAGGCGACAATGGCGAAGTGGTATATTTAATTTAATTTTTGCAACCAGTTCAGGACAGTCGACTTTATTTTGCGCTATTTTAGAGAAGTCACGCGCATCCGAGATTTTCCTACGAACTTCAAGGGGAAGAAGATGAAAACGAATACATCTATCACGTTATGGCATTACTGGAATTTTAAACTTAAAGCATAAGAATCTGGTGAATTTCCTCTGAATTTTCTCCAACCTGGCGATATGAACTGAGTAATTAAGGTTCCAAATTTGACTGGCGTATTCAAGTTGACTTCTTACATAAGCACAGAACATAACTTTCAAGGGCTTCATATTACTAATTGAACCACTGTTTCTGATGATAAAACCAAGTGCGACAGAAGCTTTTTTAGCAATTGCATCAATATGTGGTTCAAAAGACAACTGGCTATTTAGATGGAGGCCTAAATCATTGATATCGTTAACGCGATTTAAGATATGATTGTCTATAGTGTAGTTAAATTTGACAGGATTCATCTTACGAGAAAAACTATTTGCTATACATCTAGAGATGTAATATAAAATCATCGAAAAGAAAAGATGTTCAAACTTACGAATGCATATATCCAAATAAATATTTGAATGAAAAATAAGTTACTTTCATATATTTACCCGCTATCTCGTCCAGGAACGAAAAACAAATATATTATATTCTAATTTTTATAGCTACAGGCCAAAACAAAAATTTTTCATTCAAACGTTTTCAACCTCTTCAGCCTTGTTTGAGGTGGAATCGACATTCTAAGTATTAGCTCCAAATGATAATACCCTCTAAATTTCAAATCTTCACGATCAGTGGTATAATCTGTGCGTTGTCTGTCAGTCCGCATGTCCGGACAAAGATTTCTGTAATATAGATATGGAGACGAATTGAGAGACTTTAAAGTCTGTTTTACCCGCAAATAAAGATGTACCTTACTAAATATATGAAACCGAATTATAGCCACGCATGGCGTCAAGATCGCGCGTACAAGATATAATCACAGTTAACTCCTTAAAGTCGGGCGTCCGATACCAACGTCAACAGATAACCTACCCACGAGTGTCGCGGGGTGAGACAGGCTAGATGTAACTGTAACCTTGGCAAGGAACAGATACGTAATTCTACAAAACGAATTTTAAAAAATACATGAAAAAATCATCTTCAATTAAAACTAAAAAGAAAGAAACTA